AACATCGACCAGACTACACAGCGCAACAACCCAGAAGACAGAAATCTTCATACTCTGATGATGGAGGCAGTATGACCTCTGAAACGTTGGTTAACATCGACCAGACTACACAGCGCAACAACCCAGAAGACAGAAATCTTCATAATTACGCTTATTTCATAAACTGAGTCAAATGAGCAATGCTGTCGTCTGCCATTTCCTGCATTTTAATCTTAGTTACTGTTTGTTAGGACACGTGAATATTCTTTCCAGACGTGTTACCCAAAAATGATTAGCTCTAATTTCTTTAAGCTTTGTGATAATAATGATCCACGTTGAGATAGAGCTCGCGTCCATAACATTTCTGTAACAATTAATAATCCTTGAACATGTCACAATGAGTAGCTCTAAATTCTGTCGCCGATGCAAATCTTGCCTTTGAGCCATTAACTCGTTAAACCGTTTTTAAAATCCAGGCAAGAAGTGGGGTGTATACGATTTTATAAATAATTTAACACCCTCAAGCCTGAAGGACTTCTTAATCAAATGTATCCTGTAACAAAATACTGAAGAAAAATAATAGTAAGTCGTTTGCAAGCACACATTTTCGAGTTTCCCGATGCCAACAACTGCGATGGACTGGACCGACAGTGTGGACCACACAGCTGGATCACATCTCACCTTACACCCCTCCAGCAGCACTTTCCAGGCGAGTTCATTTTTAAGTGCCTAAATGTGTTTCTACACACGAGCCATGAGTTTTCGACGTCACTTAACACTTATTTGTTAGCTACAAGATGCAATAAACTTTTAGGTTTGCGTGTGACAAGAACGTGGGGCACGCTGCAATTAGATGTGACACTACAATCCTTTGGAGGCTCACATTGGGTTTCCATCAGTGTCAGCCATTGGGTAATGCCGCATTGCATTAAGCATGAAGTGTAAGGTATTTCAGGGGGAATGGTTTGTCCTATCTTAGTTTTCGTCAGAACTTCATTAATGTGACATGAACAGCCGGCCTGGATAGGAACAAAAACCCGGATGTATAAAATACAAACAGAGAAATATATTTTAAGTCACTAAACTCCGTTGTATGAAATCAAAATGGAACCTCGAGATCATTCTGTTTCAATTCGAAGCGTTAACAAAAGTCGGCAAAAACTCACAAGTAGCTACAAATCTTTAGGTAAGTCGCTATTTGGATTTCCACGAACTTTTAGTTTTTATGTATCTTTTATTCTAGGCCCCTTACAGCCCCAAAATTCGTCGTTCTAGGATACTGTTATACAGTTTTACACCTTGTCTAAAATGGTACATCGTATATCAGAATATGATCGGTAAAAATTTTAAGATTAACTTATTTTTACTAAATAATGCAATAAATTTATATTCATTCAACAAGTGAAAAATGCAATGCATCGAAATGAGTAGCAAAACTATATTAACAATGAGTATTTACTAAAATGTATTCAGTAAATGTAGTTAATAAAACAATACATTACTTCCTTCTAAACAAAATAATATAAAGTTTAAATTTCATACATTTTTTACGCTTCGAACAAAGTCGAATTTAAATTATATATAATTTCATAAAAGGTTTACAGATGCCGAACCAGTAAATCTTCCCTGTACCAACTTCAAATCTGAGCTATAACGTATCTCACAAATCAGTAATCAAGATGGAAACTTAAATCTGTAAACATATTAATAAACATAGAAAATGTGTATCCAAAGATGGATTAGCTACTGGGTGACTGTGTGCGTTATTTATCACCATAAATCACTTTATTCCTTTTCGTAACCTTTCCTCCTTCCCCACGTAAGTAAAACACTTTCGTTGATGAATCCTGGGATCAACTCTGAAAAATTCTGAGAAAATTCTCTCAGACATGAAGAGGTATGAAAGGGTTGCCTCCAAGAACTATGAAAATAAAACATGGAAATAAGCAAAATATTCGTCATCTGGATACACAGACCACAATCCGCTAACACTGTACCACTTTAAATTCCAAATAATTTAGTCTATACGCATAATTCCACTGTCAAGCAAATAAATCACTTTAATGTGTGTTTTAACAATTTCTGTATTATAAATGCGTCAAGGAAACACTTGACATTGTCAATATCTTAGTTTTAAACAATCTGGAAAAAAAAATAATACATACAACTGTACAACCGGAACCTGGCAGTTCATTACCGTGTTTACAACAGCCCGCCAATTGTCCATATCCTGGGCCAGATATGTCCGTCCAGTCCACACCCTAATATTCTAAGATTCATTTTAATAATATCCCCCTATTCCTCAGTCTGCAAAGTGGCTCTCTTTCCTTGCAGTTCTTTGACTAAAATGTGTGCAAATTGTGTCCCACATAGCTCAACCAACAGCCTTCATTTACCAGTCTAATAATATTTATCAAAGAGAACAAATCATCATTCTCCTCGCTATGTAATTTTATCCACTACCTGTCACTCTTCTCTTGGGTCCAAAATATTCTCCTCAGAATAATGTTCTCAAATACGCTCAATTCACGTTTTCCCCTTAGGGTCAGAGGTCAAAACAAACGGAAAAGATCCACGGAAGGGAGAGACATCTACAGCTCGGCAGTAGAGTTAGGAACAAAGACATTGTTCTGACGTAGCCTCGAGGTTTTTTTGTTTATTGGAGAACCTGCGGTATGAAATGTCTCTACTCACTTGGTGTTACAATCGGAGAACTTTTCATGTCCTCCACTGTTAAAATTCCGTCTGAATATTCCTTGCAGTTATTTTTAAAAAAAAGTTTCTCTTCGGAGAACTCACGTTGCACGGCTGACCAATTATCATTGTTTACTAAAAATGTCGTCCCTAGCTGAACGCTCCCCTCCCCGGGGCCCCCCAAAGGACTACGTAAATCAGAATGACGAATGAACGATGACCCAGTCTCAATAAGCCAATACTTTCGTCACTGGCCTAGAGTTACTTAGGAAAAACACGAATAAGCCCTAATATAATAACCGGACGGATTCAGGACCGATGCCGTGAATGTTGTTCCGACGCGTCGCGTCGCATTTTACAGACGCTGGACTGAATCAAATTACCAATCAGCTCAGAAAAATAGAAAGGGTTTGGAATGGTAACATCGGGTAGCAACGTCGAAGGCGTATGCAGCAATGTTTGGATGGGTGGAGGCTGGCGGAATGTGTTGGACCAATGGATGACAACAGATGGCTGTACACACTCTAAATCAACGACGGCAAATAAGACCCAACAGTGTCAGATGGGCTATAGGACGATTTCGTGTCTCGAGTCACAAACTACCACCCAATTACACTTTCGACAATTTTATTACAATGGATAAATATATAAAATTTTCCGACTTATTCCTAATAAAAATTGCTTGTTTCCGGGACGGTCTTCAAGAGGAAAGCAACTTTAAAAAAAAGTCTGATAATTACTTCAGCATAACAAAGCAACTTAAGATACAAAGTCCTTACTGAAAAACCAATGGTCTCTCAGCTATTCAAAATTTTGAAGACGGCGGTCTTCCGCGTTATAGCCCCGAGTAGTCTGTAGAATTTTACCAAAGTTTCAGAGGTCCTTGCTGCTGCCATCATCAAGGCGATGAGTTACTCATCTTCTACCACAACCCAGAAGACAGCCATCTTTGGACTCAGCCGTGAAAACCTCAAATCCTACTACTAAACATTTATGTATGTTTACTAGAACAACAAGGTTCATTACCGTGTTAAATTGCACCATATTCTGAGCCGAATAATTCCAGTCAACACTCTGACACAATTCTCCTTGAAGACAAATTTTAATATTATCCCGTTTGTACCTACCTCATTCGAAGAGTCTCATTGTCTCTAAAAGATAATGTATTTCGTGTCCCTCCCATGCATGCTTTAAGTCCCACTTATCTTCCACTTCCTATTAGTCTACAATCAATCAATCCGAATTCTAGGATGTGTGAGTAACAGGCTGTTGTTTCGCAACTAATTCTTTCTCCCACGCCCAGCGCCCATCCTGCGTCGGCTGAGAGCATCTACCTATTCAGTGAAATGGAACGTAGCTACGCTCCAAAGCTCCATCCTTAATCTGAGTCGTAGGAATTCAACCACACAAGATGATGTGTCTACTGGTAATACATTTTAAATTAATAATTTCCAAAAAACTAAAAAAACAAAAACAAAAAAAAACAATGTCTTCGGAGATTACATCCAGCATGTTGCCTTGAAACATGTTAACATACGAACCGACAGCGTAATTCAGGACTCTGAAATGTTGCATTGAATGTATGTAATTACTTCAGGAATTTTTCTCCGTTAATACGTAAGTTTCAGATGGGAATACAGATTAAAATAAACACATATAAAAATGTTTAAACCAATCCCGGCACCTAATACAGAAAGGTGGGGTGAGGGGGACATAGACTATGCGCCTTCCTGTAGTCCCCTACCCGATCCATGTGTGTGTGTGTGGAGGTGGGTGAAGCCTGGCGTATTTATTGTTCTCCTGGCGCACATTTGTGTGCACTGAATGTTTGCATTTCATATTTTGACAGTCGCACAATGCACAGTAACGCGGCTAGCACAACCGAACAATTGTAAACAATTCCAACCCTTTTTTCACTACACGATGCGAAACACTAAAACGAATTTCGTTCCATTTGAGAATCCCTAGCATGTTGCTATATCAACTTACAAAATAAAATACATATTTGAAAAACGAGACCATATAGTTTTCCAGAAATGACAGCCGAGATATGGAAAAATTGTCTGTCTTCAGAGATCAGGATTTTGGCAAATGGTGCACTGAGGGGCAATGGGCCTAAACCCTCATGGTGATCACTACTTTCCAATATACGCATTAAATGCGTTGCATGTTTTATATTTATGCGTAAGCCAGTCGACTTGTGTGCATTAAGTGACAGCACTTTCCCTGAAATTGCATTTATTTAATTATAATACTGAAAGTAACCTCCATTACCTGCCTCGTTTGAACTCAGTAATTAGTGTATCCATAAGTAAAAATGTCGGATCTAAGTGACTAAGTAATAACTTAAATATATATTTATTATTCAATATTGTAACATCGAAATAACGATGAATGGCGCATAATATTAATATTAATTTTAAATTTTAACATCAACAATTTAAAAGTTTGTGTATAGACTTGAATAATAAATATATATTTGAATTTTAAACACAAACATGACGCATCTAAACTATAAACTTAATAACTTAAGTAAGTAACAAACAAAACACTTTTTATTTGTTCAAAAGAGCAAGATTTCACTTCTCCGGTTGTTGAAGTTTATGACTTACTGGCAAAAGGAAAAATTTAACAGCATTAGAAGCATCAAGATAATATAGCACTGAAGAAATCAACTTAAAAAATCATATAAAAATGAGACAGTCTTACAGAACGATGGACGTTGAACGCAAGTTTTGAAAATTGGTAGATACGTCACGTTATTCGAAGTCGAAACTGTCATATTTGTTCAGCCTCAAACTTAATTTACAACATGGCCACCGCGATAAATTTTTATGATGGCGGAAAACACAAACGTTGCTCAGCAGACGGCAATGGAAAGTTATAAGATCATAAATCTCGCAAAAAAAAAAATGAAACTTTATTTCAAACTCGGAAAGTAATAACACGGAGAGTGGACAAAATATTTTCTATTTAACGCCGACTTAGAACAAACCATTTGAGCCAGGAAAGCGAAGTTATACGCGGTGACAATAACAAACAAGGAAGTCTACATAATTCATACTGGAAGTTCAACGTTGCCGGAAAAATAAATACGGTAGTAAAGTGATTTGGGAAATGTCGAGATACCGCCTATACATTAAAATGTACACCAGCCAAAATTTGAAACAAAAATAGTTAATTAAGATTAACTGGTATCAATTTAAATGAGAATATTTAAATAACATATTTGTTTGTGTATTTAGTGGAAGTATATAATAAATTATCACCATATTCACCTAGTATTATCTACGAGCCGAATAGCATTGAAGCCACGCGTAACTGGCATCGGGAAATAAAAAATGTACATGAAAAATCTGAATGTAATAAACCGTGGGACAATCTGTCAGGGGCAACCAAACATGTAAGTTAGCCCAGTAACGGATTTGGAGTGTAAACTAGATTCTAAGTGACTCTGGACGCGTTCTGTGGTGGCTTACGTATTTACGTCGTTGACTTTCGGATAACACGATTAGACGACTTACATCTGACAGCAAAATACCTATCAAATTCTCAGGGAATATCACGCATCAGGGAGGTATAAATAAATATTTTTAATAATTTATAAGAAATTATGAAAGTATCACCATCAGAAATAAGGGTACAGGATGTCTGAGAGCCAATACAAGTCAAACATTCTGGCAAGAAAGACAGGTCTAAATGTACGATGCGACCTGATATTAATATTTCAACTTGAAATGACGTGTCGAATCGAAAACAAGCCACAGAATTGTGAAATATTTAGAGCGCTCGTCATATAATTTTAATTACATATGCATATTGTATAAGAGTTATGAAATTAGCGAACCACCAATAGTACGAATGAAATCTAAATTTCCTCTGAAAGTAGTGGCACTTCCAGTGATTACATGTGGCGTATGCAGTGCCCACGGCTCGCCAGTTAATGCTACACTCAGACCAGAATTAGTGTGCAATTAGTTTGCTTCTGTAACGCTGTAACCGGATAACCCAGCCCCCATGGCTTGATAATCTGCAATGCAGCATTCCCACCCTTCCCCCATTCCCTCAAATTCAGCGTTGGCAACCAAAACCATTCGATATTCAAACTAATAACCAGACTAGATCCAATAACGAGTGTGTGTTACTAAATGTACGCTCCTCGCTTCAAAAGTAAAGCGGGTTTTTCGTCTGTCTTGTCTAAGTTATTTCCCTCGCAGCTCAGAGGGGATTGCCTACAAATTGCATCAGGTATGGGGTTTCAGCACGACTGTGTGCATTATGCTGACCTAAATAGACATGCACAGCTATTCAGACCGCCATCTTACTACCTACGGATACGTACACTCGCTATTTATAATCGTACTTAACCCGGAAGCAAATACACTGTATCTCGTTACCTATTATTTTCGTAAAGAAGGACCAGACGGATAGCGCAAACGAGAAAAATAGATTTTTTAGTATCCGCTAGTCAACCACTTCTAGAACTCTGGGACATTCATTGCTTGGTTTATCTGCGTGGCAGTAATGATGTAATTGTAAGACTTGAGGTTCTCACAGCGGTGAGTATGAAGATTTCCGTCTTCTGGCTTGTTGCGCTGTGTAGTCTGGTCGATGTTCACCAACGTTTCAGAAGTCATACTGCCTCCGTCATCAGGGCGATGAAGATTTCAGTCTTCTGGGTTATTGCGATTTGTAGTCTGGTCGATGTTAACCAACGTCTCAGAGGTCATACTGCCTCCGTCATCAGGGCGATGAAGATTTCAGTCTTCTGGGTTATTGCGATTTGTAGTCTGGTCGATGTTAACCAACGTCTCAGAGGTCATACTGCCTCCGTCATCAGGGCGATGAAGATTTCAGTCTTCTGGGTTATTGCGATTTGTAGTCTGGTCGATGTTAACCAACGTCTCAGAGGTCATACTGCCTCCGTCATCAGGGCGATGAAGATTTCAGTCTTCTGGGTTATTGCGATTTGTAGTCTGGTCGATGTTAACCAACGTCTCAGAGGTCATACTGCCTCCGTCATCAGGGCGATGAAGATTTCAGTCTTCTGGGTTATTGCGATTTGTAGTCTGGTCGATGTTAACCAACGTCTCAGAGGTCATACTGCCTCCGTCATCAGGGCGATGAAGAT